TTAAGATTTACATCGAAGACAGCAAAATATCACTCGTGCAGTTTTCAAAAGTAATATACAGATGATTTTCCATGTTGTAATCGCAAAAAGCTTCAGGCAGCATATTTCAACGAAAATATGCATTTTGACCGCTATCGAATGCAATTTAACGATGTTTTTGTGTGACATCTCTATATAAGGACAGAATAAAAGACTTTTCCTCCAAAAAAAAAAAATTATAAAACTGCTTTAAAATGAATTCTGAAGAGAATTTTTCATGGTGTCTGTATGTACGTATCTCGCATAACTCAAAAACAAGTAGCCTCAGAATTTTGTATATAGAAGAGCTATAACATGTAGCACTTCATATTTTGGTTGCCGTTGGCCGCACCAAACATATATAAATATATTTATATATATTGGGTCAGTCCTTAAGTTCGTGTGCATTACAAGTATGCGTGGAATTCACTATGATGCATTTACTAAAACAATACAATTTTGAACCTGTTGAAACTTGTCATCGTTTAACTAAGATATCATCACCAACTTAATACACGTAAATATCACGTAAATATCGAACGCATTTTAGTACCCATAGAAGATGAATATAGATAATCAGTACAAATGTGCTGTGCTACATTTTTTTATTTTTGTGTGGTGAATCTGCCAGGTTTACAGCAATAAAAATTAATAGTGTACATGGTGAACACACTATTAGTGTAAGGACTGCCCAGAAATGGTTTAAAAAATTTGGAAAAAGCAGCATTGATGATGAACATTGTTCAGGACGTTTTGAACTGTTGGAACCAAATCAAACGATTAATTCAGAAATTTATAGTGAACAACTTTGCCGTCTAAACTCTGAAATGATCAAGAAACACCCACGACTGGTGAATATCAAGAAAGTGTTGTTTCATCATGATAACGCTAGACCGCATACGGTTCGAACAATGCTGCAAAAAATTAGTGAATTTAATTGGGAGCTTTTGCCACATCCTGCTTACTCCCCGATATTGCCCCAAGTGATTTTCACTTATTTTGTGTCTTACAAAGTTTTTTACTGAGAAAAAACAGGATGTACACAATAAACTTTCAAGTTTTTTTGCATCAAAACCAGAGTCTTTTTACAGTAATGGCATAAAAAAAGGTGCCTTTAAGATAGTGAGACATTGTAGATAATGGAGGAAAATATATAATTGATTAAAATGTTAAATTGTGTTTTTTTATACAACAGTACGAAATCCGTAATCCGGACATCCATTATCTGGAATGATGTATAATCCGGACATCAAAGCCACAAACTTTACGCAAGCGCGTAAAGAATGCACATACATTACGCATGTGCGCATTGAAAGAAATGTTTAATAAAGTAAACAAATAAATATTAATCTCTTTTTGTAAAATTTGATACCCTTTAGATCATAATTGCTCTTTATTCCATAAATTACGGTTTCATATTTTTTAACTGTATAATTTCTGCATGCCATCTTACCAGATTTAAATTGATGATCTATAATCCCGAAAAACCCCTAATCCAGAATTGCCAAAGTCCTGACAAGTCTGGATTATGGACTTTGTACTGTATTATTTAAAAAGTTACCAAAAATGAGCACAAATTTCTGGACTAACCCAATATATCCACTCTGTTACCCGGCTCAGTGATCTCAGTTTCTTTACTCTTGTATGTTTGTAAATTGTGCATTTTTTTGCTTTAAACATGATTGAATTATGTTGTTCTTATCTTCTGGTTAAGGTTTTTATGCCTTTAGGAAATCTGCAAGCAATATTTGTAGAATTATCAACAATTTAAAAGCTGTTTAAGTGCAGCTAAGCCTAATTTTTAAATAACATGGCGGACATGTTTGTTTACATTTGAAACAGCAGAATAGTAGATTTGTTGCCAATCTAGAGAGACTAAGCTTCGCAATAACAAAGATAATGCCTTCATTTATTATTGCAAATTAAATCATGCTTAATCTTTTCTGGAATTTTTTCGAGGAAATAAGTATTTAAGATTTACTTCATAATTTTTAATATCGATATTTTGAGTTTTTATATATTTTTGCCTTGTCGTGAAGTGAGAACTAAATTAATTAAATGAGAAATACTGAATCATCGTTGAAAAACTGTTTCTTTTTTGTTTGCTTAATTTCTTTTATACATCGTTCTAGATTTATTATAGTATTTGAATAGAACATGTGGCAGCAATTGGATAATTCTTCAAATGATATAAATTTTGTGAATTCTGAGTTATAATATGAACGAAATACAATGCTGTTAACCCATTAACCGCCAAAACTACAAGGAATGTTTCTTTTCTCATGAAAATAATAACAAATATTAAATTAAGCATTTATAACATAAATTTATATTGAAAATTTTAAAAAGATGCTCTTACCTGTGGAAAAAGCGAGTGTTATGTTCGCGCAATGCCAGCGGAATAAGACTACGAATGTTTAGTGAGTAGAATTGTACTTGTGTGATGTTCTTTTGAGTGGAGCACAGTATTACTTTTTAGCTGTATAACATTTTATAAATCTACAAATCACTTTACTTGTAATTAATTTAATATTAAAATATACATTGTATTTCTTTTACAAATACAGATTATTTCATTTGAAAGATTCAAGTATGAAAGCTTGATTACAATCATGATGTAAAGCTACATTACATACTTTGCATCTATAAACAGTCTGGCTATGGTACTCTTTACAACAAGTCTTTTGTTATCACGGACTTTACGATAAAATGGCTACCATCTCCATGCAATGGTTTTGAATGCTGATTTTCTAGTCTCCTGTTCTGATCTTTCTGGCTAATTCTACACTCTCAATAGGAGTTTGCAAAAGGAATAATGCATTCTCGCGTCTGAAATCTAAAGAGACTTTATTTGCAGTAGTAAAGTGGTGATATTTAGTAAGTTAGATACTGTCCTCACTTATATAATTTATCAGTATTGTCAATTTGACACAGTCAAATGCAACTGCTTCATATTCCTGTACTGCAAACGTGATATCAGTTCTCGTACAGCAGGAACAGAAATGTCCTTATCAAAGACCAATACATTTTCTTGAGGTAAAAAATGATATCCTGTAAGCAATAATATTCCAAAATCTTCTCATATAGCTTCAGATGCAATAAATTCTGTTTTTTTTTTTTTTTTTTTTTTTTTTTTTTTTACCCTTAGCGTGTTAATATTGTTGTTCACGAGAGAGAGTAATGTCTAAACCAAAAAGAAAACTAGTTTTACCTTGTGTTTTGTATTTTAAATTTCTCTTCTATCTCTTCTTCATGTTCTTCCTGAGACATACAACAGTTTCCTTTTTTAATCCACTTCAAGATTTCAGTTTCTGCTTTTAAACTTTTTTGTATGACTAACTGCTTAGAAGCTAAAACTTCTTCTTTCGTGAATTTCAATTCAACTTCCCCAGCAGTATCATTTGTAAATATCATTATGATTATTTAAACATTGCCATTCTTTCTTCTTCGTCACTAGCTCTGAATTTCTGGGGGAACACAACAATCATTTCTTCTGGCATTATTAACATTATCATCATCTGTTTTTTCATCAAAAAATCTTTGAAGGGCTTCTTTTAATGTAAGATACCTCATTCTAAGCATTTTTAAACAACCAGAACATCGAAAGGAATGAGTGAAAAAGGAGACTGACTACTTGTTTCTTGCTGACGTCGCGTCAGCGCAACAACTGTTTTTTCTTTCTTCCCAACACAAATATAAACATCTGACTGATGTAATGTTCTGATAAACAGTGACCTTGACTAAAGACAGATCACTCATAAAGACAGCGATTCTTTCGTTAAATATTTTCAGCAAAAATACCCGGTCGAAAATTTTGCTTAAAGTATGAGATTAATTATTATAAGCAAAATGATTGTTGAAGGCAAATATTTTTTTACACAATAATCTCGTAAATTCCCTACACAAAATCATCTGCTGTATAAAATATCTTAGTGGTTATGTATATACGCATTTCTTTTGACCCTTGCGTCGACGCAACACCAGCGGCTAATGGGTTAAGTGAACCTAGCGCCAGAGTGTTGATACAGTAAACAAATATAATGAATTTTAAAGAGTGCATTTATTCTGTTGTGGTGTATGCGCTATTGACAAAGTAGATTTAATCCAATCCAATAAGTTTAAATGAAAGGCAAGAAAAAATGCATATAATTTAATATTCCGTACAAGGAAGTCATGTGGTGTACAACATCAGATATTTTTCTCACAAAAATATAAGATGTTTCTGATTTCACATATGAAAGGCCCTAAATTCTTAAATCTATACATGCACAAAAATAAAGCAAGTAAATTTCAGGATTTAAAAGGGATGAAATATTAGTATAATAATTTGAATAAAAAGATATAATAAACATGTTTTTATGTGTCATCATTTTTGTACAATTTGCATATAAGATTGCATTTTTAACTATTTAAAATTACTTTAATTATTTAAATAATATTCTTCTCTATGCTTTTATTGTTTAAAAACTATTTTTATCACTGAGGAAATTCTCTTAATTTCTGAAAAAACAAAATTCCCGATTTCTGAGTTTTGGTATGTTGGTAGTTATACTGTGGTACAATTCCCCACATCCTATAGCAATACCATCAGACCAAACAGTTTCCACTTCTTTTCATGACTAGTTTTAAAGGCGAAAATTCTCTAGCAAGGTCAAAGATAGATTCCCATAGTCCCACAGATTTACAGAAAATCATTACTGATGACACTCGTAACGTGCAGTACTATACCAAGTTACACTAAAAACATGCAATATGTGCAGCAGAGGAAAGGGGTTTTTCTGGTATATTATGCAAGATGTAAAAGTTTCTGTCATCTCATTCTTGATTGACAGCAAAAGGTACTGAATTAGCTTATATTTTATTTAAATTAGATTTAATCTTTACATTTTAAATTTAAGTGTTATAAACATCTTCTGCATGTAAAAATGATTAATCACTCAGAAATACATTTATAGTTTATTTGAAATGATAAAAGACAACAATAAAGTTAAAACTATTTAATTTTTTATACATATTCATAGTAATTCATCACAAATTAGTCTTTCAATCATTTCAACAGTGAGTAATGTAGATGGACAGTCGTAACAAGTTTCAAAACAAATTTGCAATTCAATTAATTACATAAAAAAAATCACAAATGAAACAATAAACGGATGGATAAATTTTCAAGTGGCAAATAAGTACTTCCAAACTACATTTTCTAAATGAGTTCTATACAAAATAAATAATATATATTTAAATTTTTAATATATATGAATCAAATTTAAGAATATTCTAACAGGTCAGGAATTCAAATAAATTAATTCTAGTAAAATTAAATATTGAATATTTATATTTTTTAAGTATACTAATGATTAAAAATTTTATCACATAATTTTGCTTATATCAGCAACTGTGAACCTGTGTAATGAAAAAATGCATTATTATCAGTTACACAGACATTTTATAACTACAGCAACATTCTTATGTACATGTTATTAATATAAATTAATACAGACCATCAAGACACAGTCTTTGGTCTTTGTCGTATAGTGACCGTTAGTTTGAATAAATGAAAAACATATTTAGTTGCAATAAATCTTATTAACTATTCCAACAAACCTTACACAATTTTAAATAAAATGCTCAGTATTAGTATTTACTCTTATGGCATATATTTTGCTCTTAGAGTTTTCATCTGGCATCAAGAAACACTTAACTGATGACCAGAACTTCTAAGATACTCAAGAATGAGAAGTTCAGAGAATAAAATTAATATGAGGAAAATTAGATCTATACAATTACTGCAATGAAGATCCACCATGAAGCTCCATCACAAGAATTAAATTTTACTAAGAGATAAGCTGAAAATTTCCCACGAAAGTTTTCACCCTTTTAAGTCTCCAAATAATCACACAAGGTTAAGAAAGAAGATCTAAAACATAAATAAATAAATTGCATTAAATACAATAAAATAATTGCTCATATTTACAACAACATTAAATATACAATTGTTGAAGTAATTATGACAGAAATAAATATTTCATTTCAGTCTAGAAAGGATAAAAGTTCTGTTCCATGGTGTGATATATGGCATAAGAAATATATTTTATTAATTAAAAATGATGCTGCAAATGTCATCAGTTTGATGTATTTGTAAATAAAATGTTTTAAACTTTTAAAAATGCATTTACTGCTTTTAAATTGCATAATTTGTTAAGCAGTTATAAACATGATGTTTCAACATGATGTTTGACACATATAATTAATGCTCATTGAATGGCAACACTCAAGCAACTGGCTACTTCCAAGGGCATATAGAAGATAAGTTTAACATTTTATGTTGTACACAATAACAATACTTCCCAAATCGCATGGACAATCGATGCATAGTAACATACTGTATCATATATTGTAAGTCTTTTATTTTGAAATTTATTAAAGAAGTTTATAACTTTAGAACATTAATCTGAAGGAATAAATTACACTATACAATATTCACCTCTTATCATTCCACTTATAAAGAATGTGACATTAAGACTCAATAAAATGTTTTTAAGAACCTTGTTTAACCTGCATGTCCCATTCTCAATTATTTTATTCCTAAAATCAATTAATAATCAACAACGGTTTTAATACAGAAAAATATTTTAGTCATCCAGTCTTTAATGCTTATTAAGTCAGTTTTTTTTTTTCATCACACTTCAATTGGACATCCCATTGATGCTATTTTTCTGTTTTTCTCATTGACATATGCTATCTAATTAGTAAAAATCATAATAATAATAATAAAACACAGCTTGCCTGAAGAAAACTGAAAGCATGGTTATATAACTTTTCCTTAGTTATATAAAATGTAACTAAAGAAAAGTTTGTATCTAAAGGGAAGTATTTTATACAGATATTTTAATGAGCATTAAAGACTGGATGACTAAAATGTTTTTCTGTAGTAAAACCGTTGTTGATTATTAATTATTTGCATTCGTCATCACTCGTCAGAAATTTAGAATTTTGAGCTGCTAAGATTTTAGGAATAAAATAATTCAGAATGGGACATATATAAAATGTTGTTGCTTTTTGTATATGTGAGATACTAGGAATAAACACACAATTTAAAAATATTCGTCGAAAAACGAGAACTATTAATTAGCTAAAATGTGCTTTTAAAATTATGACAGAAAAGCAGTCTTAAGTTGGCAAATATTTTGCATAAAACTCAAAAGATTTCAATGGCTTAAATCCCTTTTCTTCAAAAGCAAAAACCTTTTGCAAAGATGGGAAGAAAACTATCATTTTGTGCAGATGGTAATGATGTAAAACGAAAACTAACATAATGCCATCTGTTGAGGAAAATGGTAATGAATGTAAAAAAAAAAGCTAAATATAACTTTTAAAATATTAAGAAAACTAAATTGAAAGTAATTTCATTAACTAAAGTAGATACATTTTTATGAATGTGAAAGACTTCAAAGAAACTCAATTCACTAACTGAAGAAGCTTTATGGATTGTTTTCACAGAACCAAAGTGCTTAACTACAATTAGCTGCTGAAAATTCCCATGTTCCTTCTTTTCAGATTGCGGCTTCATTCTCTTTGATGCAAAATTTTATCTTCTCAGTTCGGCCAATATATATCAAAATCTGTATATATTATAAATCTTACATATAATGTAAATACGCTATAAACTCCTTAAGAACTAAAATCAAAGATGGGATCTTTATCCATTTGAGTCCCAAGCAGTGCGATAGCACTGTTGAGATTTTATGTCGAGAAAACCCAGTACATTTCAAACATTGTGGACAACTGATGGTGCACTTGATATTGATAATGTAGGTGATTGATTTAAATCAAGAGCACTTCAATATAAAATAAACAAAGCGCTATTGCACCTCTTGATATTTCTCTTTATAAAATAAACAAGGGCTATCGTGCTGCTTGGGTCTTTTTCGTACTCATTTAGAAAGTGCAGTTGCGTTGTTTGGGATTCGTCAACAGAGTTTTTTCAATACCCCCTGGGACTCAAACGGTAGTTACAAAAATGCAGTTAATTAAAATATAGGCTTCCTCAATCAGTTGTGGTTTTAATAATACTGAGTCAAAGACTCACTCTTTTTTGATTAATTTACTTCTAACTTTGCTTACTTTCTACCCAGAATAAATGAAAACATTAGCAATGCCAGATACCTATAGTATACTTTAAATCAACGGTTTCAAACTGGTGGCTCCAAAAGCAATTTTATACAAACCACGAATACATTTCAATAATGTATTTTTTGCTGATGTGGTGTAGCAAAAATTTCAGACTTTAGTTATTTAAAGTCCAAGTTTACATTATTTTCATTATCATTAAAAATAAATATGAATAACGTTCCAGAAGATCACGAAATGGAACTAAGGAATTTAAAATGTGACATACATCTTATTCAAAGATTTGAAGATACAGATTTTATGAACTTTCATTCAGACTCATCAAAAAAAACATCAATTATGAAATAAGATCAGTTGAATGAATGTTATGAATTATGCATTAACTCTTTGTGTGGGAACACATATATATGTGAACACCTTTTTTTCATTGTTGCAAATTAATAGGAAAAGAATCCAATGGACTGAGAAGCACCTACGATCTCTGATGAAGATAATCTTTAGTTATTTCTTTTCAATTTTATTAAAATCAAAATGCCATCAAGTATCATGCTGTAGTAAAAAATAAAGAAGTTTATATAATTACAGTAAAAGTCCAGAAATCCGCAACACTGGGACCAGAGGTTGTGCGGATTTTAGGATTTTGTGGATTTCAGGACAGAAAAGATAATATTCAGACTAAAAGTGCAAAATAAATAAGGCGTATTAAATACATTTAATTAAACTATTAATCATTAAACACAATATATGCATTAAATTATAATTATAAACTGATTATCTTAATTGGTTCATTACATTAGGCTCCTCTATTTTTAAATCAGCATGAATCTCTCAGTAGCCTAAAATAGGACCCCATCACCCACCGCTGCCGAACCACGTACAAGACAGCATCGAGGTTTGTCGATTTCGCCCTGTAAGATTTCCGGTTTAGAATCACTGTTGCTATAAATTTCAACAGCTTTCTTTATTGTTCCGTATATCATACACAGTCCGTGTAGCAATTCCATACGATTCTGCTATAAACTGAGCAGTAGCACCTGTCTCCATCTTTAGCAGAATTTCCACTTTTTTCATTACCGTCAATGCAACGTGTTTACGTATTTCAACGTCGCAAGCAGTAAAATCACGAATGCGTTTCTTATCTGTCAATGTATTAAAAAGTGCTCAAATTTTAAATATTCTTAGTATATCAACAAAATATCCGGATAAAAAAAATCACTAAACGATCTCGGGAAATAACAAAGCTTAGAAAGTACAATAACGTGAAGCATAAACGTGAAAGAAGAGTTGAGTTAATCATCTGCTTTTTTACCTCGTTGCAGATTAGAGGGGAAAAAACTCTTAGCATGATGTCAATAATTTGGTATTTCCGTTATGACTCATTAATATTCGGTAATTATTATGTCATTATCCAGTAAGTATTTTTTCTTCGGTATTTCGTACTCCATGTTGCAGTTTCCGGAACATATAAACTAAACGTTTATATTTTGAGAGGCAACGAGGATTTTAGGAGTTGGCAGATTTTTGGTATTTGACTGTATTTACATACAAACATGTCTATTTTATTTAAGCACGAAAGAAAACTTTAATAAATAAGAGAAAAAGTTTAGGTAGTCATTTATTCTCAAGTGTTATCCCATTTGGAAAAATTTCTCTAAAGTTTCATGATTTGGTTATTTTTAATTTAAAGTAAGTTATTTAATGATTAATTAAACATATTAGAGTTATTTGAAATACTCTGAAAATTTAATATTTAGCTTTTTCTATTTCAGTTACAAAGCATAACCACAAGAATGTCTTTCAGGTATCAAGCTTGAGATTTCAAATGAAAAAATAAATATAAATTTGATTTTTTTTCTTTTGTTATATTATTACTCTTTATGTATGTTTTGATAAATATTTAGTTAGCATAGCAAAATTGAAAACTTTTTTTTAAATATTTTTCATTTTGTTAAAAAAAAAGTCTGGCCCGTTACCTGTTTTCATATTGTGCACTTAGTTATCTGTATTAGAGGTTACTGCTTTAAACCATAAGTGGAATTAAAGGGTTAAAAAAATTAAGAATATAAAGAATAAAACATTCAATTTACCTGTGAATGGTGATTCCTGCTTTTTTGATAAACTATCTTCGAAAGTCATAAATGGATTTTCTGAATTTAAAAGGTTGGAATTGACATCATCAACATTAATCAGATAGTTTTCGTTATTAACATTATTATCTAAGGAAGAAGGTTCTATGTCCACCAGCTTTGTGAAATCTGTACTGTCTTGAGAGACTTTATTACTTTTAGATTGACTGGTTTCAATGCTGATTAACAGGCCGGCATTTGACATCTCTTCAGGACTAAAGAGAAATAAAATTAAGAGAATGTCAGTGTCATACCTATTTAGTACTGAAAATATTATTTTCTCTTAGGAGCATTTTCTATACTAAATAGATTTCCTTTAATACTAAATGATAATGCTTCAATAGTAACTACATATTCTACAATACTAGCTAGACATACTTCAATGCTAAATAATTATGTGCTTATTAAAAAAATATGACAATCATGAAAACTGTGAATCAAAGCTAAACATTTTAATCCAATATTTTCAAATATGTTTATTCATGACAATCAAATGCTTCTCTTTACATAAATGTTTAGTTTTTATATGGCTTAAAAACAGTTTTGAGCCAAAAAATTAAATTCTTATATGTGCAGTAAGCTGAATATAAATACATTGCTGTCTTTGAATAGCACAGCACCATGATGGAATCATCAGAAATGAATGACATTCAGTGTCTATACAAATTGAGGTGATTAAAAAAATAAAAAAAAAATTACAAAGCAATACAAGATTTCTAAATGCCAAAAATCTGTATTTTGTGAAGCAGCCATATACCGAAATAATAGCTCATATTCTTTGCAGAATTAAACCACACAGGTTTTTGAATGTTTACCTGAAAAATAACACTATCTCTCTATCAGAGCCCAAAACTGATTTACTGAATAACTTATATTCTTGATGCTAAACAGATGAATCATTTTTTATCATGTTTTGTTTTCATCAGCACATGATTATCAACTCATGGCAGCTAGAGAAATGACTCACAAAGTGATGTCAAAAACACTTTTTCTTCTTCTTCTTCTTCTTTATATATATATATATATCTATATATATATAGATATATATTAATAATTGAACACTAAACAGCATGGTAACCTTTTAAGTTGTCGTTACATTTTGAAATTATTAGAGACTTCAGTCAACTGCGCTGTGAGGCGTTGAGTGTGTTGATGAGAAGAAATTTAATTTAATTTCATTCCATACGCAAAAAAAAAAAAAAAAAAAAAAAAAAAAAAAAAAAACAGATACTGTAAATGATATTCATAGGACAAAAGATAAAATTTAATGCTGTTTGAATTAAGAATTAACTAATTTCTAATCCAAATAAACCTTGTATACATAGGAATTCATTTATTCAAGAATCAGATAAGCTTCAAGTATATGTGGGGAAAAAAGACATTATAATAAATAACTAAACTAAGACAGTTATTCAAGTTTAATTTCCTCAACATATGATACAAGCTAGACAAAATTTAGCACAACACATTTCTAGTCACCAATCTTGTGATACATCAGCAATACTTTATAGTGGGTGATAGGTAAGTTTTATTATGACAGTCACAAATCTGAAGATTTTCTTCTAATGAATAGAATTTGTGAAGAAGTGGTAATAAATGAAGATGATATAACACAACTTTTACGTTGTGATGGCAATGCCACAATCACAAATTAACTAACGGTTATGAAATCTGTAGTATGGGTCTAAATCTAGAAAATATTGCCATTGAGAGTGAAGAAAGACACGGAAAGGTTGTTGAGAAAGAAAAAATTTTGGTTTTTCTCGACATGGTAATTATCCCATTCAGGACCAGCATCGTATGTACGCGACGCAACGATTTCACTCCTACCAGCCCAGCATTGCGTATACGTGAAGAGCTCCAATCGATCTCTGCAGCCCAGCATCACATATATGTAACTTTAAAACGGAATGATTTATTTGAATTTTTAAAAGCCAGTAGATGGAACTAAAGGTAACTGTTTTCACATGGGTTGATTCATATGGCATCTGACCTTCATATACTGGCATTAGTTTCTGTTCTGCGCTTCTGGTTTTGATAGATTTATTGGTATAAACTAACTGGGTATCACGGCTCTTTATACAAGCACCTGTGAATTAAAGGGGCACAGGTGTTTATTTCGTTAGTTTTTTTTGGGGGGGGAGAGAGCTTTTGTTCTTTGCTTTTTTCATTATTAGAATGTGGGCAAGTGCATACAGCTCCTTGTTTTCGTTTTATGTTATTTGCTTTTTTTGTTAGGAAAGTGCATTCAGCTGACTTTAGTAGGTGTAATGTCGCCGAACTTCCGTGATGGAAAAACTCAAGACCAGTTGTCTTTTTTTCTATTTATTTTGAAACTTAACATAAGCTTTCTTGGTAAATTAAAAAGTAACATCACAGCATTATTGCAGAAGATTATCAGCTTTCTCGACGCGTAATGCGTCTTACTCGTTTGCATTCCTCAGGAAAGAGCCAGCATTTTTGTTTTTCTTACTCAATCTAATAGGTCTTTATATATATTGCCTTGAATGGTCATTATATATAATGACCCAGGCATTTTATTATGATATAATGTATTTACTTTACATATAATGTATATACTGGCTTGATCAGTAATGGACATCCCGCCAATGGGGCTGTTTCTGTGATCACTTTCCGGTCATCATGGCGGACACTGTTTTTCGATCTAGAAAAACAGGAAGTTTTCTAATATAAACATGATGTCACACAGGATTTGAGAATGAAATATTTCCGGGTGTCTTTTTGAAGAAGTTTTGGGACATGTGTTGGGTTATATTCAGTTTCATTCCGTTAGCAATGGCTAAAAAACAAGATACCGTCTAACTGGAAGACATTTTCCAAATGTTTACATTGACGGAAAAGGTAATAAAGGTAGGAGAAGATGTGCTGTGTGTGCTAAAAGCAAGGAAAAGTGAAAGCAAACAGCATATTTTGAATGCAAAATATGCAATGTGTGTGTCGATCCTTGTTTTGAATTATTCCAGACACAGCAGAATTTTTAAATTGGAATTTAATTATCTACAGGTAATTCTTGCTTATTTTCTTTTTTTAATTTTGCATTTGTAATTTTGTTTTATAGTTATGATTTTAGTATTTTGCCTGTTTAATTTATTTCTATTAATGTGATGTTCTTTATATTAATACATATAAAAACAAGTACATTAAATACGCAATTTCAAAAATTGAAGTCATTATATCAAAACGCTGATTTCATATATATATATATATATATTTTTTTTTTGTAAAATTAGGCTTAACTACTGAAAATGTGCGGGCTGATGGCGATGATCCATTTCAGTGGGTTTGGTCCCGTGACTGTGCTTTGTTCTCTGCGTGCTGGTCCTTAAGGGATTAAAGAAACTGAACAATAAAACTTTGTAATTGAACAAGAAATTATGTCTGTCTATAGAATTAAAGCAAAAATTTTAGCACGAAAAATGAAGCTATTTTGAAAAATGAAGCTATAACAAGTTACATTAAAAGAAATTTTTAATAAAGCAAATAAACATTGAGCTTTTTTATAAATTTTGATCCTGTTAATGTCCCTTATAAATTAATACTTAAATGCTTAATTATTTCATAAACAGCAGCTATTTTGTATTTTTAATTCCATAATTTATATATGTTACTTTACTAGATTTAAACTGATATTCAGAAAATTTTGAAATCCAGAATCAGCGAAGTCCCAATGAGTCCGGATCCCGGACTTTGTACTGTATATGAATAACTACACTATACACATTCTTGTTTCAAAGAGATTCATTAAGAGAAACAATGGATCATTCAGATTAAAAACTTTTGTCTAATTATAGAATAGAGTGCTTCATTCCATTAAAAACACCAAAACAGAGATAACATGCCAAAGATTCCTAGCTTTTATTTATTGCTAATGTGCATTATTATGGCAAACCTTGAAATAGGCTCATCTTTACATTAATTTTAACATTATCTTACACCACCTTATGAGGAAGATGAATTAATTTCTACTGTCATTTTTAAATTGAGCATAAGTTTCAAACTGAATTTGATATTTTTCTTCAATTCATACAGCATCACACTTGTAAAGTAAGTATGCATCATAACAAGTTATAAATTATCTCCTCCCTTCCATTGAATGAAACAAACATATAATGATTTTTGAATATATTATTATTTTTTTCAGATTCTACAACTATTTAACAAATCATCTTTCTGCATAAAAGAGATAATCCATTACATCTTTATTTCTTAACTGAAAAAAAGATCATAATATAGGTCAGTCATAAAAGTGAAATCTTCCACTTTGTTATAACATTCATTTGAACTAGCATTTGAAAATTCAGTATAAGTAGTTTTTTTTTTTTTTTTTTTTTTTTAAATAAACTGCCTGCTTCAAAGTATGATTGTTCACTTTCCAAGAATGACACAAAATGTTTGGAGCATAAAAACATTATCATCTGCAAGTCAGAAATTTATTTGACTTCTACTTCATTGAGTTTATGTTCACAGAAAATACAGAAAACGATAAAGCTTTATGCAAACGTGCATACTGTGTAGAAACCATGGACAGCTGATCAGGAAATAAACTAAATGTAAGTTTTAATTTACATTCGTTTTAATCTTAATTTATATTTTGTGTATTTTAAATTTTATTGTTATGTCAGTCCTTCACAAAATTACTAGCAAGCCACCATCTTGAACATTCTCTTTGCCCCTGGTACATCAACTTGGTGGCATTTTTTAATGTCACCAAAAGGGTTCTAAGGAAAAAAACAACAGGAAAAAAGCCCACAGGAATAATGCTCACAGGTATAAATATTCACAGGAAAAAAGCCCACACAGAAAAATACTCACATGGAAAAATGCTCAATTAGAAATATACTCACATAACTATATGCTCACATGAAAATAAGCTCACTGATAAATAAAATATGTAGAAATATCCTTACATTAATCAATCAATAATTAATCGATTTGAACATCATACATCTACTTGAATTTTTTAAAGAAAAATTATTTGATCATTTGAAAAAAATTAATGGACAAATGCTCATATTATCCTTTTCAGGGGCGGTATATAAAAGAATGAAAACTATAGTAAAATTTTGCATGTACTGTAATATTTTATACCACTTCCCCCTGTAAGACATTCTTTTTCCTGCAACTGCCAATAGTTTATTATTGTTTTTTATTTACTCTATTTTTGCATGCTTTTGATGTGTATCTATAGAAATTGATGTTTGAATGTAGTTATTTAAGTTTGGAGCCAAAAAAGTGCTAGAAGACCACAGTTTCCAATCAAAGTGTGGAATCATTATGAAGCAGCCTTTGAAAAATCTCCTAAAACAATATATTATTATGAAAGCTTTCATAAGATACTAAATTCATTATTTAACTCTAGCCATCCTAGTATGTGGTTTTTGTTTGATGGACTGAAAAATGACTTAGCCTGTCAACGCCACCACACCATGAAGGCATACTAAGAAGCGAGAGAAATACAATCAAAAGTCGTTAATCCGGACTCGTCGGGACTTCGGCGGTTCCGGATTATCAATTTTTCCGGATTATAGATCATCAGTTTAAATCTCATAAGATGGCATGCAGAAATTCTAAAATTAAAAATATGAAACCGTAATTTATGAAATAAAGAACAATTATGATCTAAAGGGTATCAAAATTTGCAAAAAAGAAAAAGCTTAATATTTATTTGTTTACTTTATTAAACATTTCTTTCAATGTAAGTTGTTTAAGTTTTGCTTCGTTTTCATGTGATAATACTTTCTCTTTAATTCTATTAAACAGACATAATTTCTTGTTCAGTTACAAAGTTCCGCTGTTCAAGTCCTATAATTGCTGTGTCAAGAACACCGACTAATTTGTCAATCGAAATTTTTTTGTTTTCAATAACCTCTGTCACTTTTCTTCGCTATCGGAAGCGAATTATAATGACGAGGAACTTGTTTTAAATCATATCAAAGACGGAGCATATCGAGATGAAATACTACATTTGGTAAGGAATTATAAGCCAAATAAAATAAAAAACATCTGCGCTGAAGATAAGGATAGTGCTAACAAATCAACTTCCAATTCATTACGCGCCCGCCGCCGAGCAGCGTGAAATTGATAAACAGATTTCAGATTTCAAAACATACTTTAGCTTTAGATCCTTTACATATTAACAAATATATATCGGAAATTCTATTTGATATAATCGAAAGTTTAAGCTTACTTTTATAAAATTGCTCTTACAGTCTGCAAAAAATAATAAGCCGGATGCAATTCGAAAATTAAGGAACAATGCAATCATCAACATTAACTGAAATAGAAAATTTTAGCTTATACGTCCATTATACATAAAATGCGCATGCGAAAATGTATTCTGCACTTGCGCACACTCATATGCGCAGTCGTAAAAGGTCTTACGCACACGCGTGAACACCTCTGCGCATGTGTCAACGCGGCGCATGCACAGAAAGTTTTTAGTTTTGATGTCCGGATTATAGATCATTCCGAATTATGGGTATCCGAATTAACGACTTTTGACTGTACCTTAAGTTTATGTGAAATATACATGATTTATATATAACAACGTATTTAACATATTTCTATTTGCTTATTCTTCTAAATGTTTATATTATAAAATGTGTAACTTATATTTGCTATTTTATTTTTTTAACAATTAAAATTGTAATAATTTTTCGCTGTATATTCTGTTTCATTTTTCTTCCTTCCTCCTCTTTTTCGTCTAATTCAAAATGGCCCATTTGTTAATCTTATATAGCAACTAAATCTACACATAAGCTATACAGTTTTATATACCATAGATGTTTTGGTAATTTAAATAATTTTTCTTTGAAAAATTCAAGTAGGTGTACGATGTTCAAATCGATTATTTATTGATTGATTAATGTAAAAATATTTCTACGTATTTTATTTATCAGTGGGCTTATTTTTATGTGAGCTTTTTTCCGTGAGAGCATATTTCTAAATGAGCATTTTTCCATGTGAGATTTTTTCTATGTGGGCATATTTCTGTGTAGGCTTTTTTCTTGTGAGCATTTATACATGTGAGCATTATTCTGTGAGCATTTTTCCTGTGGGCTTTTTTCCTGTGGGCATTTTTCCGGTCACCCACCAAAAGGCACCCTGTTCTAGAGAGAATGCAAAATGTTTAGCATGCATAAAAAGCATTTACTACAAAATATTTTTTTTAAAATCATACCTAGTGGTACAACTCATTTCTTCATGGCTGCTATAGCCATTAGTTTGTGATGGAGATGTAACTTCATTGGCACTCAAAGTTCTGTTTGAAGTTATCTTAAAACTATTTGACACACTACTATTTGATACCAACTGTTCACTACGTCCAACACAGAAGCCATTACTTTTATTAGAATGGTTACTAATATTTTCTGTATTAAGTAAATCTGGAAGTGCTTCTTTATGAGATATTCTGTTCTCATCTGAAAATGGCCATGAACTGGAATTGGAAACGTGATTTGTTGTGGCACTGAAGGAGACTGAACTATTTTCCACTTTCGTTTCGAAACCTCCATTGGAAATATTTACTATGTTATTTGCTTGTGGCAAGATGTTCTGTTTAGAAGCCTCTATGGAAGTGGCAGAACTACTCATTTCGGCAGCTTTTGTAGACTTCACAATGTTTTCATTTTGAGAGTTACTTGAAGATGCAGCAGCTTTTGCTCTTGTGCGAGCCATTATTTGCTCAACACGCTGCAAGAAAAAAAAAAAATTATTATACATTTTGTGGATTTTCGTCAAGTTGAATATTGCTTTGAATAGCATCAAGGAAAAAAAAAAAAAAAAAAAAAAAAAAAAAAAAAAACTACATCAAATAACAGAAAAAGGTACTCTGGTACATTTAAAAATAAATATCAAAAATGTATAATAAATCAATAGCAATATGCAACAAAAAATTAACATTCTACATGCAATGTGAAAGAAAGAATTCTGAATGTTTCCATAAGATTAAAAGTTCATGAAATGAAAATGAATATAAATCGTGTAATAATTAAATAGACTCTGAACTTGAAAATTTATAATATTAAAAAAGCAAAAGTAAAAGCTGTAAATGTGATATATATAATATATATATATTTTTTATTTTATAAGAATAAATTGAGTTTAATTAAAAAAATTAAATTTAACTACATATTTAATTAAAGATTCTTTGTGCCATTGCTGCAAGGAATGAAATTTAAGCAAATTTAAATTCTAAACAAATACGTATAAAAGTAAAAAAAGTAGAAAAGCAAATTTAAATTCTAAATAAAGGACTAAATTTGCTTTTCTACTTTTTTACTTTTATATGTATTTGTTTAGAATTTATATTTTATTTTACTTATGTACACAAGTTGAATTTTACTAAAAATTATTCCTCACATGCTAAAAATGCTTATTTTTTTAAACTTTAAATGCTTCCATAATTTCAAATTCCCAGAAAATAATTTTATTAAATAAATTATGTGCAACATGTAATTCTTCTACTGAATAGGCTGAGTTTTCTTTTTCCCCCCACTTTGGAAAAGCACATGACAGTTATCTACTTAAAAGGAGGGATGTCTTCATGGAGGAACTTCTATGGGATATTGGATCATATCTACATAACACATGGGGGGAAAAAACCACGAAAGTGCCCATTCACTGGGATTTCAACCTGGGTCAAACTAATAAAGTTTTGCAACTTTATTGCTGAGTCGCTGGTCAGCTTTCTACTGAATAAATGTATTAGATATTTATACACTCATGTCCATAAATTAAGGAAAATGCAAAATCAGTCAAAGGAAGAGTTAGAAGCAAAATAAATTTGACTTATTTGTAAAGCTTATTTATTAAACAAAAGGTAAAGAGCAAAAAAAGATGCTATAAGTTTGATATTATTAAAAAAAATTAGCGATTTTTTCTCCCTGGAGCAAATTACAAAAAAAAAACCTATTTACAAAAAAACAAATATTACATGGTTGGTATGATTGTTAATACATTGTATGTCTCCCAGACGATGCAATACAGTCCGTACAACGCCTAGGCATGCTGAGTATCAAATTATCGATCTGATCTTGGGGGATATTACACCACTCAAAAAGCAATGCTCTCCGAAGTTCTCGTAGACATGTAGCAGAAGGTTGATGGGTTGCAACTCATCCGAAAAGCATGTCCCACACATGATCTACTGGATTCAAGTCCGGTGAGAATGCTGGCCAGTCCATACAGGTGATATCCTCCGATTGAAGGCATTCGCTTACGATGTTTGCACGGTGAGGACGGGCGTTGTCAATCCATAAACACAAATTGTGCGCCCATGGCGCCCCGAAACAAACGTACATGTTGTTCCAGAATGACGTTCCAATAGATTTGGTTTGTCATGGTTCCAATTTGAACATGCAGGTCAGTTCTGGAACCCAGAATAATTCCACCCCAAACGAGCACTCCTGTACCACTGTAACGGTGTCGTTCAATGTTTTCTTGGTGGTAATGGGTACCTGGAGCTCTCCATATGAAAGTCCAGCGAGAATCAGACTGCTAGCTAAACCTGGACTTGTTGGAAAACATCACACAAGCCCACTGTTGCGGTGCCACAATGCATGCTCTCTACTCCAGGCTAACTGCAGGCGACAGTGAGCTGCAGTAAGTGGAACACATCTGACAGGTCTACGAGCATATAGACCAATCTGCCCTAAGTGTCTGTACACGGTCTGCCTTGAAATTGCCGTACCAGTGGCTGAAGAGAGCTGACGAAACAGGTCTGAGGCTGTGCTCTGCCTGTTTCTTTTGGTAGTGACTGCCAAATACTGGTCCTCGTTCGGCTTAGTAAGTCTGGGGCGACCTGTACTGTAATGTCTACTCACATTACCACCATCTTGGAATCGTTGCCAAAGCCTGGAGATGACACTCTGGGCAATTCCAAATTTGTCTGATACTTCCAGTTGGGTACGCCAACATTCCAGACAACCGATAATTCTACCACGTAAAAAAAAACCATCCAAATGCGTCCTTTGTGTCATAACTATTCGGTTATTGCACTGAAATGCTTATAAAGCGCCTGCGAACAATTTTACTTCTTTGACTGCATTCCATATATCACTCTCTTACACTCTCGTCATTGTGACGTACCATCGGTGTCATCTGGTTACTTCCTGAAATTTGCATATGATTCTTGAAGATGTGTGTAGTGATTTTATAGGTAATGTATTTATTTTAGAGTTCGATTTCCACGTGACTCCGAATTATCCTTAATTTATGGACATGAGTGTATAATATTATATTAAAACTACACAAACATTAAGAGGACACTAGATAAAAGTTGATCATCATTTTAATCAATTCTAATTGTCTGAGAAGTGTTACGATTCTGAACAGACATCTTATATTCTTTAAGCAAACATTTCAATCTGTTCTAAATCATATTACAACTGATAAGGTTTCTAATTAGGTATTTTCATATAATTTCGTATAAATATACAGCAGTTTCTAAACCAATTTAACTGCACAAGATCAACGGTGATATTGCTCAAGAGTTTTTTTCATAAACACCTTCAGTCAATACCTCTAGACAGCTGTGATACAGCATAAAATAAACCAAAGTACACATGTGTTACGCTACTTCAAAGAACTGAGTAAACAGCAAGTAATTATGTTTTTATATGCTTTCACAAAAGTGCTATACACACAGATATTTCAGTATAATCATGGAATGAAACAGTAGACGGCCAAATAAAATCAATATGATGTTCACTTATTTCTATAATAATAAAAGAGATGGGCATAAAGAATATGTGTCCGATGATCAAAACATTACCACTATTTTTCACAATTTCTAGTAGTTTTGTTTTTCACTGTTGCCTAGTATTCTTCTCTAACAGAATACATTATGTCTCAGCATAGCTATTGATAAAACTCTATGATAACTTTTATGCTGCTGGTCTTTAGTTCTTGATGGAATTGGTAAGAGAATGGAGCTAAATAATATCATTGCTGACTCTTAGGCTATCATAACAGATACATATTTAAAGATTTACGCATACTTTCTAGCTACAGATACAGCAATGTGCAAACTCTAGTTACATAATTACTCATTTAATGACTAATTATATTTTTTATTTTTGACTAAATTACATTTAATGTAATTATATTTACTCATTATATATGTATGTGTGTCTGTGTGATGAAAAAGAGAAAAAGACCTAGCAATGTTGACAGTGTAGAACGTAGATCCATAGTAAAGAAAAATTCTGATTACGTAGAATGCTAAGATGTTGAATCTGTAACGACTAAAAAACTTGGCAGCTGACTAACATTAAATATTCATTTTTTATTTCAACTGACATTTGTGGTCACAATATACTTGGCACTCTACTTGTGCCTATTCAAGAACATTTACGTTTTTTATATTGTTGCAATAGAAGGAGAGCACAGAAATATAGCATTCAAGCAGCACAGAAGTAGAAGCGAAAGTGTACAATTAATCCAGTATGAAAGCTCACCAAGAGAAGGTTTTGGTTTGGTTGGTAATTTCAAATATAAAACACAATTTTCAGTAAACAATAAGTTTTGCAGCTTTAATAAACATATCGGGTTGATCGGAAAGTCATGTCGTATTTTTACTGTTTTTCAAAGGTGACTGATTCCTATAAAAATTAGAATTCAATCAATAATGTATTGGCCATTTTGCTCGATGACGTTTTTCCATTGTTCAACAAGGTTCATAATTGCACGCTGGTAGAATGACCTGTCTTTAAAGGCGAAAAACTGTACCAGGTGCCAATTTATAGCCTCATAGGAATTGAATGTTTTATGATTCCAGGAATTCTGCAAAGAGCAAAACAAATGATAATCTGGAGGTGCAAGATCAAGCCAGTACAATGGTTGGGCAACATATCCCAACCAAGCTCCAACAACTTTTGGTAGCTGTTGGTTTGGTTGCAACAGGTAACCAAACTCACGTGTGGCCTTACGCTGTCTTGGTGAAACACAACGTCTTTACGATTCACAAGTTCTAGCCGCTTTTGATTGATTGCATTGTTCAATTTGTCCAATTGCTGACAATACACGGCTGAATTAATCGTTTGATTCCTTGGTAAGGGCTTGAAATGCACAACAGCTTTGAAATCCAACCACACTGTCAGCATGACCTTTTCCTGGTGAATGTTCGCTTTGGATGTGGATTGAGGTGGTTCATCGCACTGTTTCCAAGAAAAGGGTCATTCTCTTTACATTTAAGAAGGGAATGGCAGATGCTCAAACGCTTCACCAAATGGATTTCCTTCAGTTCATGAAAAACCCAAACTTTAAGCTTGCTTATGAATCCGAACTTCTTTAAATGGTCATGAACAGTTGATTGGACAAAGTGTAGTGCCTCTGCTATCTCTTGTGTTGTGTACCATGGGTTAGACTTAACCACTGCCTTTATTTCATCACCGTCAGCCTCCAATGGCCTTCCTGACTGAGTCGCATCATTTACATCAAATTGCCAGAACGGAATTTCACAAACCAGCGCTGGCACTGACATGACGTTACAGTATCGTCCCCATAAACTTTATGCAACTTTTCACAAGTTTGCATTGCTTTCTTGCCTTTGTGGAAATAAAAAAGCAAAATATAGTGAAAACCAACGGTTTTTCCCTCCCTTTTCAACTCCATATAAAATCTATTCAACTTATTTGAAACAAAAAATTTTCTATTTATTTAATGGGTTCCTTATATAGTATTTCAGTGAG